ATGTGAAACTATAGCAATGAATTTTTATTTTCTGTTACATTAACATCCATCAGTATGTTTTGCTCCTAGAATCCTCTTTTACCCTCTGCCGTGGTTTAATATCATATATTATTACCTGACAGTTATTGAATCCCTGTTATACATATCTTCCAAGTGTTGACACATTTCATTATTTAAGATCAAAAATCGTATTTGTTCGTAGCAACAGTCACCCTTAAAAATTCTGAAGGACTGAGCGGCTGTCAAGGGCTCAGTGACGGACACCTTTCCCTTGGCCGGAAGTGCAAATCCGATCATTTGCCCTGACAATTGTCGATTGTCTCCCTCAAACGTCAACAGATTAACTATGTCGGCCTGAAGCAAAGGCATGCTCTCAAAATTTTAAATTTTAAAAGAAGAGTACTTTTTAGGGCTTCATCAAGGAGCCTCTGAAGTAAAATGCGGCCCCCCCACCAGCGCACGGGGCGAGGAGCGTGGGGAATGCCAGCAGCAAAGGTTTGCACTGTGGCCTCGGAGCCTGCGAAGGCGTCAGCAGTTTCATTCCCCACTGACTCCGCGCCGTCAGCACACAGCACACATGTTCTTGTACAAGTCGTAAGATTCCGGTGGCCCCGTGATTTGAATATCCCATCGCTGCTCGCATTTGCTGCCAACCATTCACGTAAAAGAAGCCTTTGGTGATTGCTCTGCGCTGAAACCAGATGACTTCAAGCAAGATCGGCTGGCTCAGCTGTGCCTGTCCATCTGTCCATCTGTCAGACAGGAGTAAAGTTCTGCAGGCAAGGCATTAACTCTGTCTTCTTGTTCACCTAAGACTGAAAGTCACAGCGCTACTGTAAGGTGACACAGCAGCAATGCCCTGAGTTTTTATTTTTTACCGACCCTTCATCCGGGAGCCATGGAGCGATGGTGGCTGTTTTCTCAGTTTATTATGATGCACTGCCTGCTTCGTTTCCTGAGTAACTGCAGGCTTCTCCACCCAATGCAGCTCACTAACTTGCTCTGTAGGATGTCTCAGTGACTCTGTCATTTTTACTTTGAGAGGTGCAACGAACAATTTTAAGCTTTTCTTTATTCATTTTTGTTTTGTTTTGCAATATTATCTTTTTCCAGAAAAGAACTCCCTAAATTAAAAAAAAAATTGTGTAGAATAACTATTTTATATAATTATAGAACATGTTATTATATACTTATACAATCATTATAGTGACATTTACTACTTCACTATAAAACAAATGAAAGATTATATATGTATTTTTTATGTTTAAAGATGCATTGCAGACTTTTGAAAGGAAAATTGGAAGACTTGCTTTCTTAAGCCAACTGCGCTGTTTAACATCTAAAGATGCTGAAAAGAAATTGGCATAGCAGAGTTCTCTGACTCATGGAAGTGAAGAAGCTACTCCAAAGAAAATGACAAAATTCTAAATAAGAAACAAAAGTATAATAAAATCTCTTCTTCCCCAGGCTTTATGGAAGTTAACATTTAACTTAATGTGTGTTATGCAACACAACATCTTGGAATGGTGTTATTGCACTCACTCTAGTTCAGAGGTAGCCTCATTTTGAGATCAATCATTAAGGAAAAAGAACTGAACTTTTCAAACACAGATATAATGACCTCTTGTAAAAATTTGTTACAGTTTCAAACTGGCAGTGAAAAAACTGCAGAAGCATCTTAATGGGGACTTCTCATATTGGCTGGAGAAGCAACACAGGATGTTGAGCTTTTAAAGGGTTAATTATGTCTACATTTAAAACATTCAATACTTTTCAATATTTGTCTCAAAATGTTGCCATCAAACTGTCACAATAAAATTAACAGAAAAAATTTTTTTCTGCCTAAATCACAGTAAGGCAAATTATGCACATCTATAGAGCTGAAGGAATGGGAGCATTTGTCATTTTTTATTTCTCTACTTTCCCATTTTGTCTGGAGTAGATAGATTTCTCTTTCCCAGAAGTAAGAGACCTCTTTGCAAGTGCTCAGTTTCATCCTTTTCGCCAACTTTAGACACGGGCAGTGTAATGGTGGTGGAGGAAGTGAGTCTTTTAGTCTAGTGGGAGGATACAGTCAATCAAAATGTACACGAACAGCAAAATAATCGTCAGCTGTGATCACAGAAACACTACCACTGTAGAGAGGGTCATCCAGGAAGACGTTTTGGGGAACATAGTATTTGATCTAAGAGCTGAAGAATGAGAAAGATCCAGCGAGGCAAAGACCTGGCAGAGCGCTATTGCAGATAGTAAAGAGTTTCAGTTCCAAGTGCTGAGAGTGGAAACAGCCTGCAATGCTGCAGAAAGGCAAGGGGCCGATGAGTCTGGGGGGGGAGAGAGCAGAGGTGAGCGGCAGGGGGCGTGTGGGGCCGCAGTCCATGGAAGAGTCACGGTCTTATTGGAAAGGCAGTGGAAAGCCGGGTGAGTATCATGATTAGATTGAGACTTTTCAAACTGTGTCCAGGTTGCTTCGTGGAGTAGATTTGAGGAGGGGGTTTCGGGAACAGAAGACAACTTACTCCATCAACTTCACTGTGCTTCTGCCTAATAATTTGCCATTGACCTTCAACAACCTGGGGCAACAATGCGATCTTAGTATTTGTAAATTCAGTGTAGGCTGCTTTTAAAAATCACGGTGTTTATTTTGGTGTGTTTCTGCTTGCCGTACCGACCATCTATTTGGCAATGGTTGTATGACTGGCGGCTAATTCAAATGGAATTGCAGAAACATTCTTTTCTCAAATTTTTTTCTAAACCCTCAGTGCTCTCACCATCAATACAAAGACAAAAATAAATTTCTGATGACCAAAACCGGCCTGTCTCTCTATCTTGTCTGGCGTGAGTTGTAAAAATGACGCATGTCCACCTTCAGCTAGAAAGGAGAACACCAGCTACGTTTCCACAGCAATCACAAGACAGCCATGCAAGGCTGAGACATCCTCATCAAAAAGGAGATAGTGGCCAATAGTAATGACTATTATTAAGCATTATTCAAAATAGTCAAGAGGTTATAATGAATGATAAAGACCCTGGATAACTGAGGTGGGCATGGTGGATGTGAAAATAAGGAAGCTCCTCAATATCAACAAAACTGCCTAGTGGTGCCAACCAATCTGAGTGATTCTATATAAAACATGTCTTTTTTCTTACATACACTAGGCATTAAATATACATTTCTTGAAAGAATAACCAACTGTCTATTGCTTTACATGATGGGGGGACGGGGAACCCTATTGGGGGTACCCTAATCCTAACTAACTCTGTTGCCCTTATTTGTGCTTCTTTCATGGAAATTGCATATAGGCATTTATTTTCCCCCCCCTGCAAAGAGATAAAAGAACTATTTTAAAAGGGGCTCTGCAAAGGAGTTTGTATCTTCATGCAAAATGTACTAATGCTTTCTAATAATGCCCCATAATAAACTGAATCTGAACAGGAGGTGATGCCAGTAAATTGGTGGCTGGCCCAGGCCTGCCTGTCTCCACAGGTGGCACATGTTAGCGTTTAACAGACACGAGCAACAGCCCAGGGCGAGCACCACCAGCCTGCGTCACGCGCTGGGCGCGCGCGAGCCCGCGGACCGGCGAGGAAGCACTCTTACGTGCACGCAGACGTACACGCACCCAGAGTCTTAATCTCCAGAACTCGTTCCCTCCAGAAGGAGCCCCACCCTCTCGTATTTCAGTCCTAGACCACGGCTGAGCAGGGCTTTAAAAAATACCGGCTGGGGCCAAAGTAGGTCCACGGTTGTTTGTATGGAAAGTAATACAAGAATTAGTCAATAACGCAAGAATGAACTCTGTGTCCACGTACTGACAACTCTAAGCCTCCTTTTGGCCCCGCCCTGTATTTCTAACGTCATAGGATTTTAAATTTATAACTAATATTACAGTAGTAAAATCAAGTTAAATTTCAGAATCAGCTCTTAAGTTGGACACCGTGTGCCTCCAAGATAAATGAAAACCTTTGCAGCCTCCGCCCATAAATACAAGAGAATCCGATTTAAAGTAACTAAGACTAGAAAGACCTGTGTTGACTCAAAAGCCAAAAGCCCCCAAGGGGAGCGGACTGCAGAGCGGGTCGCTACCGTGCCCCAGTGACACGGGAAAGACGCCCTCGTCCCAGGCTCCCACTCTGCTCGCCGTTGGAGTTCGTCTGTCACCATCACAAGGCCACTGCACGGGACTCCCCCGAAAAGGTCCAGTACAAACGGGGCGCAACCCGAGCCCTCCAGCGGGCTGAGCTCGATTCACGTGGGCCGCATGGCTGTCTCAAAATCCGTCCTGGGAATGGAAGGGAGAGACCCCACGGTGGCTTCCGATAACGAGGACTGTTCCGAGGCTCACGAGAAATCAGGCCTCCCGATGTGTACGTGCGGAGGGGATGGGCGGGTACCCGAGCCGGCTGTGCCGGGGCGGAAGCCAGGCCGGGGTGGGGGGGGGGGGGCAGTGCTGAGCAGGCGCAGATCCTGGGGCCTGCAAAGGGGAAGGGGCGCAAAAAAGAGGATTGCGCGCTCCGCCCGGGAGAGGAGCCTTAGGTTTCACGTCTTGACTTTGTGCTTCCAATACTTCAGTTGAAAATTGCGTTTCAGCAATTTACAGAGTCTTTTAAATCAGACAAAATAGTTGTATCTAGAATGGATGGACGCTTTCCCCAAACTTTGCATTATCTATAGATATATTTTACAAAGTCCCCTGTTGTCCAATTATGGAGCTAGAGATAATGAGCAAGGTTCATGTTTGATGATGAGAGGAAAAAATGACATCGGACAGTTTTAAAAAACGGCTTATATTTTATGGATTAAAAACTGCAATAATAACAATATGTTGTGTAAGTTAACATTTGTCTTAATGTTATCAGGAAGTTTTTATTTAAGCATTTAATTTCCCCTAATGTGGATTTTCAATCATATCCCTGAATCATTTAATGGTATCTCACTCAACATCATTGTAACTAATAAATGCAGAATAAGATTAATTGTCTTTTTCTCAATTTTTAAGATCCTGACTTTAAGGACCTTGGCGTTTTGAAGCCATTACCAGGTTGGTAAAACAGATATTTAATCATGTTCAGAGGCCTTTGTTTTCTGCTGTGGAATCTGCGTCTGGTGTGTTATTGAAGCCCCCTTTCTGTGTTTGTCCGGCATTCTGTCATTTAGTGTGTGAGTTTGAGATGGGCGGCCCTGAAGGAATTGTGGAATCCACACAGATCGTGAAGGAAGGCAAAGCTGCTGCTAGCGAGGCCGTTGATTGCAAGTGGTACATCCGGGCACCTCCACGATCCAAGGTCAGTCTAAAGGGCGCACCCAGACTTGGCAGCCCGCCTGGGAAGTGTCACAGCATGCATAGCTTTCAGCCAGCTGGACGTGCTCAGTGCCACCAGAAGCCATCATTTTATGTGGGTTCTGAAATGCACCTTGTGTTCTCCTGTGCAGTGTAACTTTCATGTCACAAATAATGCGGAGATGTTGCTGAAGATCACTGGGTACCCTGAACAAGAGACTCACCTGGAATTCCACGCCTCTGAAAACTGCATTGAAATGTTATCCCTAAGCGATGGTTCTAAGTACTGTAATTGCACTTGTGCTTTTTAACCTGCAATCATGTTGCGGGAATAAGCTGAGCAGGGCTTACAAAACCACGCATCCCTGGCACATGAAACAAACGCGTGTGACGGCTGGGGGCCAGGGGTCAACAGGACCTAGGGGAGCATTAGTGGCACGTGGACGTGTGTGTGGCAGGACAGTGACGTGGCCAGATCTGCATTCTGGGAAATCATTCTCCCTGTGAAGTACGGACAGAGGGGTCAGCACTGGAAGCAGAGACCCCTGGGAAGGCGCGGCAGCCCTCCGGGGGCTGAGGCAGCTGCTGATGGCAGGCAGGGGAGCCACGGCGCCGGCAGGTACAGCAGAATGTGGTAGCTGGGTGTTCGGGATGAGGGGAGGTAGGAGTCACCTGTGAAGGAGTTGGTATTTCAGGAAATGTTAATGTCTGTCTTCACAAATATTTTTGTCTCGGGTCTGTATATAATTCGGAAATGTGGCTCTCTTTCCCCAGTACAGAGACGCAGAGCTTCCAGCACAGAGATTCAGAGACATGGCCCATGTTCCAGGTTTGTCCCTTCCAGGTCACCGTGCATCTGAACAAATCTTTGAAAAATTAGTTGCATCGCAAAGGAAGGCAGTAATTCCTCCTTAAAAAAAATTTAAAGGCCATTGATACTGTAACACTCAACTCACCTCATCAGTACTAAGGGAACTGGATTGTTCTGTCTTGTGCTCTTTTTCAACAGGCTAGTGCTTTCTGTTTTCCTTAAACTCTGTGAATGAAAGAGTTTTAGAAGTTTTTTTCCCCACTGGACACATGTGAATCCCACCTAATTGTCATGCCGGGATCTTTGTCTCCATCACTATCACAGAAAGGGTTTTTATGGGAGTATAAACACGCCCTGTTTCTTCCATCTCCCAAGTAGACCGTCTTTTGTACAGTCCCGAAACAATGGCCAACGTACCTGCCGGTCGCAGAGTCTGCCGTGCCGTGACGTGAAAGGGAAGCCACCTGCAGGGCCGGACAATGTGGCTCGATTGTGACAGGCTTTCTCTGTCAAATGAAAGGTTGGGGGATAGGACGCGGCCGGCAGCGCGGGAGAATGGACGGTCTGAGCGCACGTCCCATCAGGGCGGGCGCCGAAAGTGAACCGGCCGCCGGTGAAAATGGGAAGGATAACCGGTGATGCAAACTGGTTGCTCATTTGGGTTCTAGTAAAATTTAAGTCAAGTACATATTGCTTCTTAGCCTTCTCACAAGTAGAATATACAATATCTGATAGCTGCTTTGTTTGAGAATGGTAATATAGGGGATCCCATTTAACTAGAATGTGTTGAATCCAGTTCTTTAGAACACGGAATACCAGAGTCAGGGAACACTTTGGAAAATCTGTTACGCATTGGCTCATTTGACAGACGGGTGAGCGGAGTCAGGATGGGGGAGCTGTAGATGGGTGAACAGTGGGACGTAGGAGCACACCCCTGTGAGCAAGTCTTTGGTATTCATGCAGATTCGAGAGCAAGGAGGATGGAAGGAGAGCATGCTGCCTGGCTCTGGGTCTGGTCCAGATGCGGATGTTGGGCAATCGAATCATGGTAACGACTTGGATAGGAATTCCACGAAGTGGGGCTTATTTATTGGTACCAAGGAAAACATCTATCATTTAGTGAAATCTCATGGAGAAATAAACCAATGTCCATCTAGAGAAATGGACACAGTAGTGATCTTCAAACAGTCGAACAGCTGTGATACGACAGGGGAGGAAGTGGGTACGGCAGGATCTGCCCAGTTTTAAGCACCAAAATTTATTTGGGTGCTTGAACCCGGAACAACATAGCTTTTGATTCAATATAGATAAGGTTTTTGGGTTTTGTTTGAATAATTGAGCTGCCCAAAGATCAAATGAGATTCTGCAGGAGGAATCTAAGTAGAGTTTGGCAGAAACTTTGAATAATAATTTTAAAAACCAAGTAAATTTTTGGCATAGATAATATTAAACTCCTTTCAAGACTGAAACGTGGTGAGTCTCTAATGAAGGACTGCCCAAATACTTGGTTGGTTAGTGACAATGCTAAAGCAAAACCTTTATCCCTGACTCAGTGATGTCGCAAAACCACACTAATCAGGGACATTTTCAGGTTTGTTATATCAGGAAAATAAATAAGCCAAAGGCTTATAAAAACATACAAATGGAGATAATTCAATGGCTTTAGGTCTTGGGAAAATAAAACTCTAGCTTTCAGTAATTACCCATCACTTAAGGCTTGAAATTAATTTCGAATGTGTTATTACTTCAAAAATGTTTTGAATAAAAACAGGATAAAATGAAAAAAAAACAGATAAGTCAATATTTCAAAGTGAAGTTGTGTTGAAGTTAATTATATAATGACCTTCACTGTTGTAGGCAGGATCTTAGAGATGACCCCTACGATTCCCAGCCCAGACCCCAGGACTGTGTGTACGGTAAATATCAGACACTTGATTATGTTAAGTTCCCGGCGAAAGGGATTTTGCTGATGCAATTAAGGTTCCCAATCAGTTCACTCTGAGTTAATTAAAAGTGAGTTTATCCAGGTGAGCCTAATCTAATCACATGAGCTTTCTACAAATCAGAGTTTTCTCTGGCTGTGGGCAAAGGGGAAGCTGAGCATCTGAAGAACAAAGACTGTTTTGTAGGAGCTAAAAATGGTCCCTGGTTAACAGTCATCAAGAAAACAGAGGCTGAAAAGACCTAGGTTTTCTGCCTCATATATACACCCTCAACAGCCTACACGTATTTCTAACCTACAGAGATGATAAATGGATATGGTTCCAAGCTGCTCAGTTTGTGGTAATTTGTTACAGAGCAAGGAGAAAACTAATGCAATAGACAAAGGGTAGTAACTATAATTGATTACAATGATAAGTTTTAAGGTTCTAAAGATTGAGTTTGCCCTTATTATCTTGAAAAAGAAAAATAAAAAATTGAGTAAACAAAATGAAAAAAAAAATGTAACTGGCTAGATAACTACCAGGGAAAATGTTATAGTTCAACTCTGTTTTTAAATGATATCTCAGTTTTGCACACTATCAGATTCTGGAGAGCTACTCAGATAGACTTTTAAAATATTTGATACTTGTCTGTGTTTATCAGAAAATCATTTTAATATTGTTATGTCAGGGTTTGCTGTCGGGTGTTGTGTTTTTTCAACATTCCAGAAAAGACGGTGCTGTCCTGGTTTTGCTCCGGGCACTGCTGCCTTCCAGGTTCATGGGGCGTCCTGCCTAAGACGGCGAGGCCTGGCCTGTCCAGTCACAAATCAGACAGCAGCACTGCAAGTCCTGGGTTCCCCGGCGTTTAGAACGTGGCTCTGTTTACCGAAGTCTGACGCCTTGAGACCACGGACAGTGTTTCTCAGACTGTGGCGTACTTAATTTGTATTTCTCCTGGAGAAAACTGTCCCAGCGAGTCTTAAATAACTGCCGCAAACAGTGTCTGTTTTCTCTCTCTCATTGTGATATGCAGGGAGACAGCAGGTTGAATGGTCACTAGTAAATGTCTGTAAATATATTACATAGTAAATTGTTAGATAGATTTACTTGCTGTGAGTATGCAAAAGGGACCCTGCTCCGCTTATTAGTGTGATTGGAAGACAGATATTACTAGAAATTGCTTCTGTGTTCCGAAGCTTCCCAAGTCCTGTTTAATCCATCATTCTGTCAGCTCAAACTTTGTGATGGATTAGAAAGAAGAACGCATCAGAATGATTCCCTGAGAGGAGATTGTCATCGGGCCATTTTACTAGAGTTACGCAGGCTTCAGGGGACCATTTTCCCTTTTCTTCAGCAGAGAGGCTGGAGAGCTCTCCGTGGCTCCCTCCCCTCAGGAAGCTCGTAGCCACGAGGCCCTGCCCCCCCCTCCCCCGGTCCTGCCCGGCGGTGGGCTCAGGGCACACTCCTCAGGCTGCTGAGATGTTACCGAAACCACAGTCGGGCAGGGCGTTTATAGGATCTCTGCCAGGGTGAGCGCGGGGAAGCTTGGCCACTTTGCTGGCTAACGACATTTGCGGTAACAGCCCTGCACCCAGGAAAGCTAAATACCCACTGGCGTGCTCCATTCCTTTCCATGAATGATAAGAAAGGAGACGTTAAAAGATAATTGAATACTTCAGAAGTGACTAATAAAATCCAGTGACTGTATTTGTTCACTTCTTTTGTAAATAGTATCCTGTCTAATCAGAATGGCCTTTAAATGTAGAAGGTACTCAGACCCCAGTCACGCATTTCACATTAAGGATGCAAATCCATCTCCTTTTAAGGAAAACATGGACACTCTCTAGAACTGTCAAATGAGAAAACATGGGTGTATTCACAAATTGCCTTTCTAACCATAGCGTTAGCCTTCTCTAAAATCACTGTATCTTTGGAGAAAATTGAAGACCGCCATTTATTTCAGAGGGACACATTTATTTTCTATGAATCTCATTTATATCTCGGCCGTCAACTTGTTTCCTTGCCCCATTATGTAAAGGGAGATGGCTTTGCTTCCTTATTAATTCTGTTGTGGCTTGTTTACTTTAAGACTATAACTTTCTTAATGGAATAGAAGCCCATGAGAATTTTTTATAAGCGTGTGTGAGGCTGTGCAGTGTGGTTCTAAGGGGTGGATTTTTCAGGGTGATCTGAGTTCAGTGCCAATCTCAGCGGCCTGTGTCATTTTGAGAAAGTGACTTATTTTGTCTGAACCTTTTTTTTTAAATGGTTATGATAAGTATTCTTTACAATTCTGCAACATACTGTCCTTTGCTTTTATGTCATAGTTCAGAATTATAAATATATCTTTTTGAAAATTATGGCATGCAAGTAATAAAAATGTCATGAATCCTCTCTAATCATCATTATGTATAGCACTTGAAAGATTGGCATGTAGGTGCCCAATAAATATGTGATTGGTGTTAAACAAATGAACTCAAAAAAGAAAACAGAATTTCCAATCAACCATTGAACTAAACCTTGAACATTCATAAGAAGTTGGTAGTTAGAGAATGGGAGATGCTTACGTCATGTAGAACTTCTTCATGTACATAAAAATAACTGTGTCATGTTTAAAGATAAGAGGAGGGAAAATTTATCAATTTATGGTGTTTAAGCTTTTTTCATTATAACCATTTGGAAGCCAGTTAAAGATTTTAGTATGGTTGTTAGGTTTGTTTTTTAGAAATATTAATATAACTTTGACTGGGACAGGCTTTGGGGGTAAACTGGAAAAATACCTACGACATTTGGGAAGCCTGAAATATGACACAAGTATCAGTGGAGACAGAAAACCTGTCTCCTGAGGGGGAAATTCCTGAGAATCAGTGCCCCATTCAATGAGAACATTGAGGGCAAAAGAGAAATTTCTTTTAACTGAAATAATAATACTTTTTAATTCAGGGGCAGGCTTACTGGATCTGGGAAGCGTTTGTCTTATGAGATTCACAGATTATAAAGTAAGAAAAAAAGGAATACAGAGTGATGAAAGGAGTTGGATTTTTAATTGCATTCATGTCTTTATAGGTGATGCACTAATAAAAGGGCATTTAAGAGAAAATAGCCAATAGGCATTCCTGTTTTTAAAAAATGTGAAACACTTAGGAGACACCTGTATGAGAGATGCGTGTCTTCTTGATTCCAGAACCTGCCCAGATGGCCTTCTTGTGGCACCTGAGTTCCCACCGCTCGCAGGCCCACATACATCTTTGTGCCCTGACTTAATCGACACCCCTTTTCCTCCAGGACCCCCTTCTGTTTCCACTGTGTCCTCAGGGCCTTGAGGCACGTTTGAGACAAAGGAGAGCGCCATGGGTTAGGTATTTCTGAAGTAGTGGGAACATGGACAGGTGGCTTCTTTCTCAACTTATCCTTGGTTGAATGAATTGCATTTTTAGAGCGCATCGGAGCGCAGTCAAATCTTAGCTGTGGCCCGTGAAAGCAGTGTGAGGCAGCGTGGCTGTGGGAGGGCCACGGGCTGCGGGGTTGCAGGGACCTCGTGTCTGATTTCAAGTTTATATTGTCTGAATTTTTCATTTGAATGTGACAGTAAAACTTTATAGCGTTGTTGGGAGTCTTTCAAAATAACCTCTAAGGTAGGGTGCACAATAGTTTCTACTCATTGACTGTTCATTTAATTTGTATTTATGTGGACTTAGCTGAATGGCTCGACTGTCTTATGGTGAAAAGAATAGCAGGCTAGCTGTCTTTTCTTTCTTTTTAATATAGTCTCTCTCAAAAGTGAAGCCATATAGTTATGTGAAACAATTTCAACAAAGCAAAGTCAATGACTACCTTTTGATACCCTCCTGTTTCCCTTTGTTGTTAATACAAATTATTTCTCTCCATGCATTTTTGTAAGTGAAAGTCATGAAATTTATTTAACAGGACTGCACCAGGAATATCTCTAACACATTTGTGCTGATTCAAATAAAAGAGTAGAACTAGAGGAAAACTAATAACTCATTCCCGATAAGTTATGAGGAGAAATAGGATCATTTGGGTAAAAATACTCAGCCGTGGAAAATGGTACATTTACATAGAGAAAGGATAATAACATTTGAAAAAATATTAAGCACAATGGGAACTTACTCATACATCCTCTCTTCTTGCAATGCCCGGGGGGAAAATAATAAGATTGATTGCAATCAAGACTGTCTTGTGAGACTGAGAAAGGGAACAGGCTGCCAGTGCTCAGTGCGCTGCTTTCCCGTGTTGATTTGGGGGAGTGATCGTCCGCTTGCTGTGTTGCAGATCTACTTGCGGTTCTTGGACTACGAGATGCAGAACTCCAACGAATGCAAGCGCAACTTCGTGGCCGTGTACGACGGCAGCAGCGCCGTGCAGGACCTGAAGGCCAAGTTCTGCAGCACGGTGGCCAACGACGTCATGCTCCGCACGGGCCTGGGCGTCATCCGCCTGTGGGCCGATGAGGGCAGCCGCAACAGCCGCTTCCAGATGCTCTTCACGTCCTTCCAAGAACGTAAGCCTCCCTTCAGGCTGGCGGTCCCTGCGAAGGCCCGGCTGGGCCGGGTCAGGCCAGCCCCGGGCCACCAGCGGCGGGCACTTTCCCAGCCGCTGGGGCAGCGCAGGCTGTGCCTGGCATCACGTGGAGTCCCCTGCCCTCATTGGCCATCAGTGACAGGAGAGAGCTACCTAGGTCATCCTGACCACGTATTTCTATTTTTATTGTTTATTGTTTATGCTACTCCAGTTCCTGCTTTTTCTTCTCCCTTTCCCCACCTCTACCCAGCCCCATGCTCTCGCCCCCCTAAGCCAGTCCCCACATCGCTGTCCGTGTCGCTGGGTCACACATAAATGCTCTTTGGTTAATCCCTTCACCATCCTTCACCCAGCCCACCCCGCCCCTCCGACAGCTGCTGGTCCGTTCCATGTGCTTCTGTTTCTATTTTGTTCGTCAGTTTATTTTGTTCATTAGATTCCACGTATTCATGAGGTCATGTAGTATTTTTCTTTTTCTGATTGGTTTATTTCATTTAGCGTAATATTCTCCGGGTCCATCCGTGCTGTCACAGAAGGTAGGAGTTCCTTCTTCTTTACTGCTGTGCAGTGTTCCGTTGTGTAAATGTGCTACTGCTTCTGGATCCACGCGTCTACGGATGGGCACTTGGGCTGTTTCCAGATCTTGGCCATTGTGACTAGCACTGCTATGGACTTAGGGGTACATAGGTTCTTATTGTACTGGAGTTTTGGGGTGCTTCAGATATACTCCCAGAAGTGGGATCAGTGGGTCAAAACAGAGTTCTTTTTTTAGTTTCGGACTGCTTATTTCTGCACAGGCATCATAGTCTTGCGTAAGATAATCCCCCCGCCCCCCCGCTTCAGCTGGGACATGGTGAGCACTCTCTCTTTGGATGAACTCTTACCAAGCTTGTAGCACTGGTACAACAGCTTCTGATGGAGTCTGAGTGTAAATGTTAACAACCTGCATAAAAACATTTGGTCTGTTCTCTTAGGAGCTTCTCTTGCAGTTTCCATTAAAGTAGGCAAAGTGAGAGAAGGGCTCAGGAAGGGAGCAAATAGCAAAAAGTTCCAGAAAATATTTAAAACGGCACAATGGGTGATACCCAGACTTAGGTGGAAAGCACAGCAATTTTAGCAAATTATGTTCTAACAAATAAAGGGATATAGATAGATAGATAGATAGATAGATAGATAGATATAGATTATATATATAATAAAGTGAATGAATAGTTGTGGCCTTTAATTGCTCTCTACTTACCCAGTTGGAGAATTCTAGAACACTGCAAGTCCTGAGCGCTGTTCCGTCTTTCTAAATCTTGATGCCGTCAGAGGGCGTGTTAAATATTGTACCCAGTATTATTGCAGGCTTAATAGCAGGTTGCTACCTACGTCTTCATTTCAGTAGTTGATCAACATGTTAGATGTAGTCCATTTTTATTTCAGCAAGGTTTTTGGCCAAAAAACCACAAAAAACTCTTGTCATTTCTGGACTAGAATATGAAGCTATTCAGGCTATAACGTAGCACATTTGGTGTTTTTCCTGCTGATTGCTTTACCAGATCCCACAGACTGTGCTTTTGATAAGGAGTTAGCATGTACTTTACTCAAGGTTCTTTTTAGTCTTAGATAATAATATATTGAAAACTCATATTAACTTAAATGACAACATAGAAGGGCTCACTAACCTTTTAAAAATATCATTTTAAAAATATCGCACAAGTGTGAAAATTTTTTCAAACCTACCCTGTAAAGTATAGTTGAGAACAATTAAAATATATACTCTTATGTTTCAAATCTCAAGTAAATGTAAATAGTATAGGGGGACCCTGACTCCTTTGACTTCCTAAGTTTTTATTTCACAAAACTCAACAGGAGCCATTTTTTATCATTGACAAGAAATCTTATGCAGGTTTAGCTTATATTAGGAAAGTGAAGTAAACAGCTCAGAAAAGTGTCTCATGGGAAACCACACTGGTCTAAATGCAAGTTGGGTGGCCTGTTCTTTTCTGGGTAATATTAATGAGGAGGGGAGGAATTATTTGAAGAGGCCAGCCAGGATGCAGAAGCATCTAGAATCATGAGAAAAGGCCAAAAGGAGAAGGAATGTTTTTCTCAGAGATTTTTTTTTCTATTCAAAATGTAGTAACTACCTTAGACTTGTATGGGGTGACATACATTAATATCTGAATGGTAACATTAATTTTTGTTCAATTAATTATAGGGGAATATTTGAGTCCAATTTATGAAAAAAATTCTAGCTCATAGGAGCTGTGATACTCCAAAACTGAATATATTCCAGTAGAGGATACAGGGGTGATTTGATCTGAAAATGAATTATCACCTGGTGTGAAAGGTGTAGGGAAATGTCATTACTGGATTGAGGAAAGGACAGGCTAACACCTTAGGTCCCTTCCAACTCTAAGACTGATGAAGATCTATGAGTCTTTACATTTTTCTTATATAAGAAATGGTGAGTAATATCATACTGTGCATATATCATTACGAACATTTCTATTTGAGGTAAAAGGTAGAAGTTTCTATGCACATAATTAAATTATCTGCAGAAGTCATTCAGGTGGGTGGACTTTTTAATGACTAACCCAGAAGAAACAGGGTATTCTTCCTCTCTAGGAAGAGAACAGCCTGCTCTTTATGTTCCTACACAGTGGATGGGTGACTACTCTCATTTGACGATGAACATTACGAAGGCATTCTCCACGATTCTCTCATACACTGACAATAAGCTTCAATTGAAACAAATTTATTCTGTGTCTCGTCACCTATGTAGTTTTGTTTTCGTATTTATCCAGTGGAAATAGGCACATATTTGGGCACCACCAAAGAGACCTGGACATTTTTATGTATTAAACTTGACTTGTATTCTTTAATGAAGGTAACTTATTTATTATGTAAATGTATTTTGAAGTGAATACTAGAATTTATTAAACATTGTAACCACCTGTTTGCTTAACCATCAGAAGCATCAAAAGATCACAACGTCAGTAACTAAAAGGTCCTTTGGAGGGGTTCAAGTTGTGCCTCACAGACCCTCTCTCAAAGTAGGGGGCTTCCTGGAGGATTGAAAGCAATGACCCTCAGCCATCTGAGCAGGAGCTAAGGAGAGAGAGTGATCTCAAACCAATTTAGGGGTGTGGCGTCTGTCTAAGAGAACAAAACCTGCTGAATTTCAAGCAAGGTCCATGAAGTTCTTGAGACAATTATTTCAGCAGAAACACTGTCAGCTTGGACTGAAAGGGACAGAGAGTACGAAATGCCAAGAGGCTGTCAGAAACCCCAGATCCTAATGGTGTGAAGCAATCTAGTGTGAAACTACTCAGAGGGCAAAGTCCGCAGCTTCAGTGGGCTAAGTCCTAGAACCTGAGATATGATCAAGAAAAATCCCACATTTCCCCTTGCTGGGTTTCAACATTTTTATGGACCAGGGACTCCTATTCACTCTCCACTCTCTTTTTTTGTGAGCCAGAGTCTCTACGCCTGTCCCATCATTGTGCGTTGGGAGTGTTGGGACACATAGCTTGTCCCTTTGGTTTCAAGAGTACATGCATGGAGAGGAATTGTACCCCGGGGACGGAAGCTGAGCTCCTTCAAGGTCCGTTCTTAGGAGGCTCATTTTCCACAGATTTAGATGATCGAGGTGGTGAAAGTTTGGACTTTGAGCTGGTGAGGTGAAGAGGAGATTTGGGACTTTGAGTTGATGTTGTAATGGGGTGACGCTCGTTTGTGCCTTGGGAAAGGGTGGATATATTTTGCACCTGTGAGGGAAATGGAGCCCTGGGGCCAGCAGATGGACTCTGCTGGGCAGAATTTTGTGGTGACCCCAATATTTTAATCCCCAGTGTACTAACTTTAATTGTATCCCTCGCCATGGGTGCAGGAAAAATCTGTGACTATCATGGGGTATTGATCCATGGTCATATTACATTGTATGGCAAAAGGGCTAATGTATTAGTAGTTAAGACCGCTAGCATTTGATTTTGAATTAATCAAAAAGGAGACTTTCCTGGTTGGTCTAACTATGCACAAAAATGTTGATAATAATTTTTATGCCCTTTTAAAAGGTATAAAGGTCAGGATAGAAGAAGTCAGAATTCTAAGCTGTAGCAAATGTTCCTTCTGGTCCTAAGGGGTCACACCACCATGTTATAAAGAGGGCCATTTGGCAGACAATGGTGCGGGACCTTTAGGAGCTGAGAATGTCCCCCAGGGGACAGCCAGCAAGAGAGCAGGAACCTCAGTCCCGCAACCCCAAGGGACTGAATTCTTCCAGTTACCTGAACGAGCTTGGAAGATGCCTCCATGGTCCAGACAACCACCCAATCCAGGGTTCTTGGCTTCCAGTGCTTCCTTGATTTTAACCTTTTGAGACTCTAATGGGGAGAGAACTCACCCGCCCCAGACTCTTGACCTGCATAGCTGTGCGGCAATAAATGGGTGTTCTTTGAAGCCAATGAGTTTGTAATGACTTGTTAAAATCAGCAGTAGGAAACCTAAACATTCATTTAATGTGATACATAATCCAGATGTCAATCTATATATGTCACAAATCAGTCAATTGGCAAAATTATTTTTTTAAAAGCTGAAATAGCATGCAAAATCATGTAAGAGTACACATTTGCTATCAGTCAATTAATTCGGCCACTTTCTCTCCATGTAACACCTTGACTTTAAGCCTCAAACCCTTTTCTAGAAAATGGTGAATACGCCAGGGCAGCTGTAGGTTTTACACAGACGCCTCTGTAACGAAGCACGTGGTCAAGAGATGGCGGCTACCACTGTGACTATTCATGGCATGACAGCATGTTGAAACTTTTCTAGTGAGCAGTTCTTTGCTTTCAAATAATAATAAGGCTTTAGAACAAAGGAAGATGACGTAAAATCACACAACCTGCCAGGGGCTTCCCTCCCGCCCTCCCTCCCTCATGTCCTTCCTTCCTTCTGAACATTTAGTTGATCCAAAGGTGTCATAAAGAAATTACC